TGTAATATTTCAACATTTAACGTAGTAGTTGCATATGAGTTGCTACTGCAATAAATTTTGCAAAAATCTTCTTTCCTTAGTCTATGGTAATGTTGTTTGAACAATGTAATTAATAAACCGTATCTAAGATTGCTAAAACTGGATTGAAATCTTTACAAGATGTGATCGATTGGTTATTATTTAATCTGAATATTGCGATTTAAGAAGAACTATCTAGTAGTGTCATTATATCTCTAAAGATTCTTTGGAGAGAATTCTATTCAAAATTTTTAATGCACTATTTGCACTATAATAATGTAAACACAAAAATACCAATAAAACTATTCTTACAGAAGATTTATCTCGAAAAAATAATTTGGACCTAATGCTTTAATGAGAGTACTTAAAACTATGGTATATATTCGTCTCATATCATGTATATTTGCGCCGCTCTCACAAGCGAAAAGTGAAAAAAATTTGAGAATTTTTTTTGGAACGAAATATCAAAAAACTTATGTCTTAAAAACCTTTTAAGAAGTAACGGTATTGACACAAGTGCAACGTATCAGAGAGTAAGATTGCAAACTGCAAACGAAAAGCGATAATGTACTTAAGCGGGGTCCTTTATAATCAATTCATTGTCATATAGAATGCACTTCGTGTCCTTTGCGTATCTTATTTGTAGCAGGGACTCTATGCTGAATGTATTTTTCATAAGTGGAGGACTAAATGAGCTTCGTGATATTGATGAAGTCTTTTGAGTCTTCGCTTTTCGATTTCATAAATGATACCGTACAAGTGGTCATTTTACAAAGAAAATACAGGGTATCCATTGTGTGAGAACTCATTTTTTTTTCTCAGGATGCGCTAGTGTTATTCCAATTACTGCAAGGGCTCACCATGTGATGGTGGTTGGTCCGTCTGACCATCTATGAAGCACATATATCCATAAACGTATTGCTCATATCCCTTTCAAATCTTGATATACCTGTGAGATTTTCCTTTACTGTTTTTGGAAGAACTAACGTTATTTATTCTGCAAGAACAGCGCACACGACGCGCATTATTCAGCGGTGAACTTTGAAATTTCGAATACCAGCTCTATGCATGCTAATATCAGCAAAATGAAAACTTTTGTTATGTTTCCGCTTTAAAATATGTAATCTCTAAAGATGGATTTGACGCTAGCTAATTATGCTCCACACGCAATAATACAATTCTCGTTCTCGCCAACCAGAGCTTCAGTTCAATCACAAAGCTTTGGTATACAACAAAAGTTTTCTTTCTGCTCCAGTTGATTTCGTTTTTCCTGGAAAATCCTCTTCCCAGTATCTCAAAAAAATGCAAATGTAACTACCAGCTTAATTGGAATTGGTGTTTTGCTGCAACTACACCATGAGCACGGCAAAACATGGGCTTAAGATCCAATCATCAAATTTTTCATTTTTGCACAAGTCCGTGAACACTCGATGAGAAGGTAAGTTAGCGTTTGTTGACCCTTCTAATTAAAATTCAGCTTATGAAAATAGTTTACTCATACTCATTTCCATAATCAATTTGATTTTTAATTTTACTGCTTATCATGTAGTATATTATAAGATTATCATGTTTATTATTTAAACATAATCTCATTCCGTTATATGATTGTTATCTTCTCTAAGTGATGAGCAGCAGAATTGTTAAAAAAGTAATATCCTTCTCTTCCAAATTCTTGTTTCTAAGTGACATATTCTCAAACATAACATCGCGATCTCAATGATTCTTGACCGAAACTCAATTTGAATAGGCAGAAGAGTGGTTCTGTTGGTAGAGACAACTTGAATTTGAAAAAAACTTGCATATACGGGCAGTTCTAGTCAGGCAATTTGAAGAATCTCACTGCCTTGCTGCACTTAATTCTCCATTAACAGGATTTGAATTTTTGTCTGCTATTGTTTTATATTTATCCTGATCATATGGACTTCTTAAGAAAGCTTAGAAGTGCAGGAAACATTGCAAAGACATCGCAGCGTTGTAGATAACACAGGAACAGGTTCGACGGGCATGTTTTCGTTAGGAAAGAAATTGCATTGCTATTTATTTAAAGTTTTTGAAAAAAACAAATGAGCTAGTGAGATTGTGTTCTCTGTAGATCTGAAGATTCGAACTACAAATGAAATTTAGAGAGGGCATATACTCTCAAACAGTGTTTAGTGCTTCAAATGGACCTGGAGTCAATAAATTTTGTAGAAACCCACTATATGTAATAATTAAACATTCATGAATAGATCTATACGTAACAAGATTTACTTTCCAGTAAGAAGTAGATTGAGCAGAAAAGAATATTGCAAAAAGTTCAGATGATTTAAAAATGAATTAAAAAAAGAAAACCCACTGTCGAAGACCCAGTTCAACACCATAATGATGTAGAATGGTTTGAAGAAAAAGTAGAAGGAGAAGATCAGCAATGCGTAACAGGCGAGTACTATGTGGAACATCTAAAAGAATGGGTCAGAGTTTACTAAATGCATAAAGAATAGGAAGGAGCGAGAAACGTAAAGGGATTTTAAAAAGTGATTTAGTTCATTTTCCTTATAAATATGAAAGCATTTATAATGAAACTTTTCGATTAAGGGAAAAGCTCGTGCTTTTTTTGACTCTGAGGCAAATGCCAATAAAGCATTGTGCTTATTAGATTCAATTTTGAAAAATTGAAGGGAAATAAAATATTCAAATAGGAAAGAACTGATCATAGAAGGATTGCCCTGAATCGAGTCAATAGTGCACAATTTCACAGACTACTTGTTACGGAAGCCCATACGGTACAAATCTAGACCATGAATAGCCTTCAAGTATGATATTTATAATGAAAGCAGGAAAACCCTCCAAGATGAGAAAAACACTTACCGAAGTGGCGATAATCGGCCATACGAAGCGATGTCTTCTAGTGATTATCGCTACCACCGTCAGCACTGTGACGGCGGTTGGGATAAGCA